GTGGCGATGGGCGCGCGACACCCGTCCTGGGCAGAGGCGCCAGGTGGACGCAGGGCTCAGCGCCACGGTGGCGGCGGCTCTGGGCGGCATCGTGGCGGCTGGTACTGTGCGGTGGTGGTGGAGTGGCTGGTCGAGGCGCAGCGGCCGGCGTCCCGAGGCGGCGACCGGTGTCCAAATCTAGATCCGGGGCCTCCGGGTGGTTCTGGCGGGCCTCGCTCGTCGCCTGCCTGCCGCTGGACGGCCGGCGGCGGACGAGGCGTGCACCTGCGCGCGAGGACTGGTCTTGGTTGGCAGGGGTGCGGGCCGAGGTGGCTATGGTCGGAGGCTGCGGTCTCGCCTCCAACGATTGTAGCTGATGGTGGAGGTGGTGCTCTGCCTGATCGGGGGGTTCCAAGCCCTCAGATTGGCAGGGCAGTGGTGCGGGTCTGTGGGGGCTTCGACGACGCGACGTCGAGGTCCTGCAGATGGTGCAGGATGGTGGATGTGGACCGACGATATGCGGGGCTAGGTGGGTGCCATTGGTGCCAGCCACACACGGAATGGGGAGGTTCAGATCTAGGGTCCATGCTCGGGCGATCCAGTTCGAGGCCCGGGGCGGATCGGAGCCTGTGCTTCGGGTAGGTGTGGTCGGGCGTGGCCTGGGATTTGCTTGTGGATGGGGCTTGTCCTCCACTCGCAGGTAAGGTGGTCGGTGGTGGTGGCCGTGATATCGTGGGTTCAATGAGCGGATCGGTACTAGTGGCCACGGACATGGCGTCGTGTGAACTCGCCTAAGCTAGGTCTTGTAGCTTGTTCGCCGAGGGCCGTCGGTAGTCGCCGAGTCATGTCGCTCCTAGTCCAGCGAGACTGGGTGGGGATGCAGGCATGGGTGTTTCCTATGGTGGAGGTGCCTACCCAGACTTGGAGACTGATGTTGGGCTAGGAGTAGAGGATGTTAGAGATACGACAAGAAAATCAACTCGACGAAGAACGAAGAACAAGCAGGGGGCACAAGATTTTAACGTGGAAAACCCCTCCAACACGAAAGGGAAAAAACCACGGGCGCCAGCCAGCCAAACTTCACTATATCGAGGGAGATTACAAACGCCGGGGATTTACAACTGATCAACATATCCCGTGCGACAGCTTACAAGAGGTATATATAACATAGGTGACCTGCCCAAGCCTACCGGCGACGGGCCTCGCTCCGCTCGCTCGTCAGAAGTTAGCCTCCCTCTTTATACTTGAATTTGGAGCATAACATAACAGATGACGTCTCTCGGCTCCTCCTACTATGGTCGAGCGCGCGGGGAAGTGAGCGTACCACGATGTCTAGCGGCAGGGATGCTGGGGTGGCAGCTCCGGATGGTGATCCACATGGTCGCAATTCAGCATGCACCAGCGCGACGGTGGTGGCTCTCCTTCCGGGTTGTGGGGGCAACAAGAGGTGTAGCATAGGGTGGCCTGGCGTGCTCTCTGTTATCGCAGGGGGCCGCCCTGATCCGGATATGGGGATTTGACCTCGTCATGCTCTCTGTGGCGGCCTCTTTGTGTGACACGCGTGAGTTGCTGAGCAAAAGCTCCATGGCCTGGCGCCGACGTCGGCGACGCTCGTGGGTGCCGCGCTCTTCCTGGAGACATCATCGTGTTTCTTCTCTCCGTTTCAGGGCTCCCGGGTGAAAACCTTTGTCCGCTATGGACTCGGCAACGGCAACACTTGACGTTGTTCTCCCTCTTGGGGGCGTTGTCGTAGAGTTTAGGTGTACTAGGTCGTTGTGTGCTCGCGTGTTCAGGCCTTTCTGTGTTACTTGTTGGTAGCGTAGTCGTGTGCATTCTACGTGTGCCGAGTATCTTAGGATCGGCTTTGTAAGAGGGCTACCTCATCATCTTGTATCGTTACGCCATGTACTTTGTGCGATTGTTGCTTTATATATAAACCATGGCAAGTACGGGTGTACATCACATCTTCAATCAAAAAGGAAAAGAAAAACTCAGGGCAGTATGGAAGGCGTGTGCTCCGCTAGCTGCACATCGTCGTTCCTTCTCCGGGAATCCTCGCGAGAGAAGGTTCGACCCTGGTCGACTCGGATTCCCAATTTCCCTCGCTAATATAAAAGGGAAAGGAGGGCTCGATTGGATCCCTCCACGCGCGGTTCGGTTCCCCACCCCGCCGCACATCGTTCGTTCTGCCTGCAGATGCTCACGACCACCATGGCTTCTCCTATTTTTCCGCCCGTCACCAACTTTTGTAAGTCGCCTCAACTATCCCCTCTACCCCCGCCCAGCGTCTCTCTCTCTTTCTACCTCTCTCTCCAACGCTGTGCATGCCGGAGCAAATCTGGAAAGGGAAGTGTTTACAAACGGCGCACCGGCCGAACCGTTCCGCCGGTTCGCACGCCACGCTGGCAACGCGCCCGCGCGATCCCCGCCTCCTTCCTTACGTGCCTCCATCCCCTACCTTCAGCCTACGTGCGCGCACCTCCCCTCCCCCGAGCTGCGACTGGGCCTCCACGAACTCCATCGCCGGCGGCCAGGCGCTCCCTCGCCGGCCGCCATGGCTGCCTGCTGCCATGGCCAGATCCATCCCTAACCTACAACCTTCAAGGGCGCGCATCCCCTCCCCTCCTCCTCCTCCCGGGCAGCGGCTGGGCCACCACAAGCTCCATCGCCGGCGGCCAGGGCGCTCCCTCGCCGCCCACCATAACTGCCTGCCCGCCATGCCCGGATCCACCCCGCGTATAGAAGTGTTGCAACCATCACCTAAAAAAGCTTCAACGGCCATTCAAAAAGGCTTCAACCATAGACATAGAAAGCTTCAATGGCACTGCACAACAAGGGGGAAGCTGCAACCATAGTTGAATTTTGCTACCACCGGCGAAGCTTTTTGCTACATCCATCAGGCGGAGCTCGGACCCTCGCGACGACGACAACGATGTTTTGCTGCAACCGTAGCAGGATTTTGCTACAACTAGCATGTTTTTTGCTACCACGGCAACCGACGGAAGCAGCTACCAGCAATGCTTTTCCAGCAAATGATTTTTGTCCCGGCAAAACCCAGAGCTGGAACCAGCTTTTGTTTTTGCTACAACCTGCAAATCGAGAGCTGGAACCAACAACATTTTTTGTTGGAATCAAAAGAAGCAGGGGCTTCAACGGATGTACGTCAGAGCTGCAACCAGTGCTGAAAAATGCTACATCCGGTAGCCACGAAAGTTACAACCAGCTTGAAAAATGCTTCAACTGGATATGAGGTAGTTGGGGGTCGGCATCTCGCAGCGACAAAAAGCTGCAACCGGCTTGGAGGAAAGCTACAACGCGCTTCTAAAAAAGCTTCAAACCGAGAACGGCTAGCTAACAATGGTGAGCGGCGGCGACGGAGCTGCATGGGCGCGCGGTGCTGCGACGGGCACGCGGCGAGCTATGATGGCGGACTGCGACAATGCTGGAACCCTTACCCGGCGGTGCTGCAACCAGAGGGAGGGAGACACGCCCGGCCCGACGGAGCTGCATACGGCGAACGCCCCAGGTGAGCTGCGACGGCGAGCAGCCCCGGCGAGCTGCGACGGCGAGCTGCGACGGCGAGCGGCCCCGGTGAGCTGCGACGCGGCGTCCAAGGGCGAGCACGAGGAGGCTGACCCGCGGAGATCCGTTTTTTTTCCTGCGTTTACGCGTGCGTGCGGGAGGAAGAAGAAGCCGGGGGCGATTCGTTTTTTTTTCCTGGATCCAACGACCCGCGCGGCTCACATCCAACGGCCTGGGCTAGACCGGCCGAAACTTTCGGCCGGCGCACCGGCGCCTATCAGCGCCCATCTGGAAAACCTACTGTAGATCCGAGCCTTTGCCTCGTTGTACATGCGGATTCGGTTGTGGGGCGGACCGGCGAGGCGATTCTCGCGCCCAATTTGCATTATTCCGATGCGTTTGCTAGCTAGGGCCGGCAGATCTTTGTTTATTCACCTACCTTTCTAAAGTTAGGTTTATTATATCCAAAGTCCCAGATCCAGAGCTTACTTACTTACGTTTGCTTGATTTGTGTTTTGCTTCATTCATTTACCAGCAATAAATAAAAAGAAGATTCCTGGGACATGCAAGCTGCTATTCGAGACACCATCCGGATTCGCAATTTTCTCTTTTGATCTGCACTTCCTCCACAAAACTATTGAGGTGACCACTACGTGATTTCTTGTTTCTTCTCTGTCGTTGACAATGCCATTGCCAAGCACCATCCGACGGATTAACCTCTTTTTGTTTCCCTGCAGGACACCTGGACCTACTTCGTGGGCGACTATTGGCACAACTTTGTTAGTCATCACACCATTTTAATTTCCTCTTCTTTTCACTTCAAACTAGAGTGAAAGCATTAAGAAACTCAGCCTGTAAGCGGAACCTTGCTAGGGTTGCTAAACCAACTCATAACACTAAATCTATGTATGTACAGTATCATTTAGGTGTGCAGACATGATACTATCACGCATGAACGTGTGCACACCCCAAAACTAAATTTTGAGCACTCACACACGATACACTATTGCCATGTCTTTTTTTCTTCTTCCCTTTTTTCACATACCAATCAGTAAGCACTGCATTAATGCGTGAGTAGGTTAAACCAAGATTCGAGCAGGGCTGTATTTGTGGCTGACACAACCTGTCTCATGGAGACACATTGCATAATTACAAGTACTCCCTCCGTAAAGAAATATAAGAGCGTTTAGATTACTAGAGTAGTGATCTAAACGCTCTTATATTTCTTTACACAGGGAGTATTTTTACAAGCTTTATGTTTTTCTCTCTAATCATGCTTTTCCCTTGTTCCTCAGTTCCTCGCGATGCATGCTTTCCGTAGGTTTGAGGATAAGTCTGATGCCATCAACCTCACCACAAGGCGAGTAGGCGGCCGAATGATCGGACTGATCTGCGAGTACTGCCTCCCTGGAGAACTAATCATTGTTGGAAGTCCCGAATATAAATCAATAATCCAAGAGAACCTGGTTTGTCTAACTGTGTAAACTCCCTAGTTGTTCATGCATGTGCAACAGTACGATGTAACCCATTCCTTTTTTCAGAGGCGAGCATGTGTGTGCAATGACAGAGTGAGGGAGATTACGTGGGGTATGCAGAATCTCATGCCACTTTTAATCCCTCAAGAACAATCTGTGTTCACAAAGGCGGACCGGCTCCCCATATGCAAAGGATTGGATATGCTCTTACCTCGACACGGCATAAATAATGTCAAGCAAGAGTGGGTGAGCTTACTAAGCTTTGTCCTTCTCTTGTCTGATAGTATGCAATGTTTTCTGCTTTATTGCTATCTTGTCATGTAATGTTCCTTTCTGATCCATCGTGCCCCCATAACACCTTATTGCCACTTTACCAGTGATGAAAGGCATTCATAGGAACTCAATCTGTTCAAGTCATCTTATAGAAAATTTTGCCTTTTCATGTTCCTTTCCGTGATTAAGCAAATGCTCATTTGTATCCAGATTAATGAAGATATTCTTCAGCTGGCTCTCAAGGTGTATCATGTTGATTTACGTGAAAATGAACATTCAAAGTTCTTGCGCAGAAGTCTTGGTCTTGAAAAGCATCTGAAGGCCATTTCTGGATTTGATGCAAAGGATTGGGATTTAGTCAAACTTGCAACAGCGTTGAAGACAATGGTCGATCCTGATGATACACGTCTTCCAATTGCCAAAGCTTTCGAGGTGAATCTTACTTTCTTCTCTGCAAAATTTTAGTATGCATATGCTGGAAAGTTTTCATTTTGGCTAAAGATTGAAGTATATGTTTGTTTACAGATGTTCTCGCGTGAGGAGGCTAAATTGATCGAGCTTGATGCACCTAAATATGAAGATCTGTTAGACAGGGACACAATCTCGGAAATCTATGATGACATTGTTGCTCTCCGTGAATACGTGGACAAGGTGCTGTTGAAATTGCGCCACATGCTTAAGAAGGCTGAAGCAGCAGTGGAAACTGAAGATGTGCTGGAGAAAGCTGCAACAAATGGTGTTGACTCCATGCAGCAAGTTGACCATACATGTTTAGCCGTGGACCTGGAAGTACGCAACCACAATGTAATATCACAGGTGAGAATTCTGAGCTCTTGGTTGTGTGATCTTGGTGAAGACAGTGTATCATGTTTTATATGCTAATCAGTTCATCGTTGAAGTTTTCAAGACCAATCAACAAGGTCAAAACATGGTACTCTTTAGTGTACATTTTTGTGTGGATTGTGAAGAATATCAGTAAACCGCTAAAACTCTAAAGTTACTGTAAGCTTTGTAGTCTAGTTTGGATGATGGAAGCATGTCATGTGGGCCAAGGTGTTATTAAACTTCAAAAGCTGACGAATATAAGAAATCCTAAGCTCTTTCCCTAAACTCAGACACATTGATGGCCTGAAGTGCTTGCTTCAATATGCAGTATGCTTTAGTTGCTAATCTTGTTCAATAATATATTTTGGTATGTAAAAGATATTACAAAAACAACTACTATAATCAGTTTATTTCTATTGGCCCCAACGTCCCTCCTCAAAGTTTTGATGTCTTGATGATGGGAAAGAGCATTCATGTTTTGTACTTGAAAAATCATTGAGCTGGTGTTGTGTTGTCCCAATAAATATGATTTATTGAAAATTTCTAGTTAATGCAGGTGCTGTAGAAATCTTGCCGCCCAGTAATAGTGCAGATGCAGATGGTGTAGAAATCTTGCCACCCAGTAAAAAAGTGTAGAAGGAATGATGCATGAAAATGAAGCTGAGAATGCTAGTTTGGAGGAGCAGAGGAATGCAATTCTTGATGGACTCGGGAATGACCTGACTGCGCAAGCAAAGAACATTAGTGTAGAGTGTAAAGTAGTTTGGGAAGCGTAGAACCCTTTGTCTTGGGCCGCGTGCATATATTGAGGCAATGCCTTGGTGCATAAGTTTACAGAGAGAAACCGATCGAGAGAAAGAGAGATCGGTTGAGAGGAGATCGACCAGGAGGAGGTCGTTACAAGGGATAAGAAGAAGATGAGATAGAGTTGAGATACAAGTTAAACACCTCTCCTATCCCTATACAAATAATTCTAACACTCCCCCTCAATCTAAACCTCAAGCCTTGCTAAGGTTGAGATTGTATTTGAACTCATCCAATCTTCTCTCTGTCAAGGGTTTAGTAAACCCATCTGCAAGTTGATCCCCTGTAAGAATGAACCGTATCTCAAGTAGCTTTCGAGCTACTCTCTCTCTGACAAAATGAAAGTCCACTTCAATATGTTTTGTTCGTGCATGGAAGACATGATTGGTTGAAAGATAAGTTGCACCAATATTGTCACACCATAACCGTGCAGCTTTCGAAGCTTTAATTCCAAGCTCATAGAGTAATGTTTGTATCCACATTACTTCAGCTGTGGCATTTGCTAATGACTTATATTCAGCCTCTGTACTTGATCTTGAGATAGTAGCTTGCTTCCTTGCACTCCATGACACAAGATTAGATCCCAGAAATACAGCAAAACCACCAGTGGATCTTCTGTCATCAGCACACCCTGCCCAGTCTGCATCAGAATATGCAGTAACAAGCAAGGAAGAGGACTTGACAATTTGAAGTCCAAGTCCTTGAGAATACTGAAGATACCTTAGAATTCTCTTGACTGCCGTCCAATGAGTAGTTCTAGGAGCATGCAAATATTGACATACCTTGTTCACTGAATAAGAAATATCTGGACGTGTAAGTGTTAAATATTGCAAAGCACCAACGACACTTCTGTAATTTGTTGCATCTTCTGGACCAAGAGCTTCTCCACTATCAACAGTAAGTTTTTCTGAGGTGGAAATTGGTGTGCTGACAGGTTTACAGTTCTCCAATCCCACCCACTTTAGAACATCAGCTGTGTATTTTTCTTGTGAGAGAAGTATGCCATCTCTAACTTGTTTTACCTCAATGCCAAGAAAATAGTGAAGATCACCTAGATCCTTGAGAGCAAATTCAAGTTTTAAATCCTTAAGCAAACAAGTAGTGGCCTCTTGACTTGAACTAGCAACAATTATATCATCAACATAAACAAGCACAAAAACAGTGATATTGCCTTTGCTATAAAAGAACAAGGATGTATCTGCTTTGGATGGTGTGAACCCAAGACGTTGTAACTGCATGCTCAGCCTAGAATACCATGCTCTTGGAGCCTGCTTAAGTCCATATAATGCTTTATCCAACTTGCATATATAATATGGTGTGCTATGACTTTCATAACCTGGTGGTTGCCGCATGAACACTTCTTCCTCAAGAACACCATGAAGGAACGCGTTCTGAACATCTAGCTGTCTTAAGCTCCATCCTCGGGAAATGGCAATGGATAAAACAAGGTGAATGGTAGTTGCTTTAATCACAGGGCTAAAGGTATCATCATAATCAATTCCAAACCTTTGCTTAAAACCTTTTGCAACCAACCTTGCCTTGTACCTGTCTATACTACCATCAGATTTCCTTTCTATCTTGTATACCCACTTACAATCAATTATGTTAGCACCACGTTGCGGTGGTACTAAGTGCCAGGTTTGATTCTTTATGAGTGCATTGTACTCATTATCCATAGCTTCCTTCCAATCCTTGCTAGCAAGTGCATCATGCAAATTAATAGGTTCACAAGTAGTGGCAAGAAAGGCACGCTTAGTCGGATTATACTTTATTGTACCATCACTATATTGATTTTCCTTGACAATACCTGACCGAGACCTGGTGTTTCGACGAGGAGGCGAAGGAGCCACAAAACCGGTTGCTGCAGACTGCGGCACAGGAGATCCACCAGCGTCGGCGTCATCCACAGAAGATCCAGCATGATGGATCAGCTCCTGATCCGAGGAGGATGCGGGCTGCTCCTCGTTCTGGCAGCGGATCCGATCGGCCAACGTGGCAGACGGGGAGTCGCTCCCCCCCACGCCGCGTGCGACAGCCGTATCAGACTGCGCGGGCGAGGATTGGCGAGGCGCACCGGAGTGGGCGCCAGGACCCACACCTGCACCTGGTCCGCTGGGGCCTGCCCGGTCGGTTTGGCGCGACTCGCCTGTACCCGCGCCAGGGCCCGCGCATGGACCCGCGCGACCCACCTGGTCGGCTTGGCGTGGCGCGTCCGGAGCCGCCCCTGGATCTGTGGCTGGGCCGCTGTCGCTGTCGCCTGCCAGGGGCAGATCTGCACCGGATCGCGAGCTGCCTGGTTCTGCATGCTGCCGCGGATCTGCCTGGGATCGCGCGCCGCCCTGCTCTGCATGCTGCTGCGGATCATCCTCGAAGACTGCGCCTTTGTCCTGTGTGCACATAAAATGACAAGCAGAACCTGTACAAGACCCATTAGGAATGCCTTTGTCTGTGGATTTTTGCACTTGATCATGATCATTTAATTCACCCCCGTGATCAGGATGGACAGAATAGTCTGGTAGGAGTGCAATTTCTGCACGAAGCAAGGCGCCAGCATTGGGATGAAGAAGGGAAAAAGGGAACAATGTTTCATCAAAGATAACATCACGGGAGATATAGATGCGTCCAGTAGATGGTTCAAGACATTTGTACCCTTTATGAAGGTTACTATACCCAAGAAACACACATTGTGTGGAGCGAAACTCTAATTTGTGACGATTGTATGGACGTAGGCTGGGGTAACATGCGCACCCAAATTTTTTTAGAGAGTTGTAGTCTGGCTTTTGGTGATACAATCGTTCTAAAGGAGTTGAATTACCAATGACCTTACTGGGAAGACGGTTGATAAGATATGTAGCTGTGATGAAAGCCTCATCCCAATACTTGAGGGGCATAGATGCATGAGCTAAAAGAGAAAGACCAACTTCGACAATATGACGGTGTTTGCGTTCAGCAGAACCGTTTTGCTGATGAGCATGAGGGCAAGACACATAATGAGTGATTCCAATGCTACGGAAGAAAGAGTTGAGTTTTTCATACTCCCCTCCCCAGTCAGTTTGGACTGAAATAATTTTCCTGTCGAAGTGGCGCTCAACTGGCTTCTTAAACTCTTGGAAGATGGAAAAAACTTCAGATTTATACTTAAGCAAATAAATCCATGTGAACTTGCTGTAATCATCAATGAAGCTAACATAATATTTTTTTCGACCAAAAGAATCTCGAGCATGACCCCATACATAACTGAAGATTAATTGTAATGGGGCATGAGACACACTAGTAGACTTAGGGTAGGGAAGCTGATGGCTCTTGGCACATTGACATGCTTCACAAACAGACTCATTGTTTGAACGATGTGACAAAGGAAGTTTGTCTTTATTGACTACTTGCCTAACTATGACTGATGAGGGATGTCCTAATCTTTGATGCCACCGCTCGAAGGAGGGCTTGACGACGGAATAGACGCGACGATGCTTGTTGCTAAAAACTCCGGAGGACATGGGGTAGAGGCCGCCGACGCATCTACCGTGATAGAGAGGTGCCCTCGTTGCTCGATCCTTAATGAAAAAATAGCGAGGGTGAGTTTCAAAGAAAACATCATTATCGGTGGCTAAACGAGACATCGAGGCAAGATTTTTGTCAGCTTGAGGAACATGAAGAACATCCTTAAGAACAAGATCACGTTGAAGGCTAGGGGAATTAAGTGAAACTTGACCAATGTGACAAATTTCCATACCTTTACCGCTAGCTGTGTGGATCTGATCGTTGCCGTGATACGTCTCCCGTAGGGCCAGTTGCTCTAACTCATTTGTGACGTGATCGGTAGCACCGGAGTCAACGTA